AATTGGGCAGCCTGCGGAGAGCTGGCATCCATCGGGCTCGCAGTTGTCAGAGCATGCTCTCCTTTTTCTTCTTTTCTCCCTTTTCCTTTTTCTTTTGTCCTTTTCTAAAAGAGGTATCCCCTAACATTATTATATCTATCTGACTCCACCATGATTTGAGCTCATGATATGTTCATCAACAGCTGTGTATGTGTACCATTTAGCCAAATGGGCTGGGTCTGTTTTCGTTTCTTTTTCTTTCCTTTCGGTGGAGGATTGCACTCTGGTGTAATTCCAGTTTTTATTTAATGGGCTTCACATGTCCCCCCAGTTTTTTTTTTCTTATAGAATGCCTCTCGATGCTGTTCAGTTTCACAGAATGCCTCGGAACGTTATTCTGCATCGTGAATGCCCCACCAATGACCAGAATCCTCCATACAGAGGGAAACTTTGGAAAGCAAAGGAGTGGCATCCTGCGAGTATTCCCTATTAGTGTAAAATGGTCCGCCTCCAACTATTGTTGTCACTTTTTGAGACATCATTTTGGTATAGCGCTGATTATGTAATCTATTAGGGTGCTGATTATGTAATTTATGTAATCTGTTAGGGTGTTCTTCTTTTTCTTTTTTTTTTTACCTCGCCAGGCTTGTGCTATGGGGGTTGATACGAGCATCCTCCTGCAGCACTCACCCGTCAATGGCTCCTGTTTTATTGGTTCGGAGCCGCACCTGCTGTGCTACGGGGTTGATACGAGCATCCTCCCTTAGCAATCACCCGTCAAGGGCTCCTGTCTTATTGGTGGGGAGCCGCTCCTGCTGGAAACCAGGTCCAGTGTCCTTGATACACAAAACAAAACATGTAATCTATTAGTTAGTTGTATTTTCTCAATTTCTTAATGGTCATTTTGAGGTGCAGTGTGACTATGTATTCGTATGTATATACCAAACAATTTTGTAATCTATTAGTTAGTTGTATTTTCTCAATTTCTTGATGGTCATTTTGAGGTGCAGTGTGACTATGTATTCGTATGTATATACCAAACAATTTTTATACTCAGGGCCTACTCTCAGGCGGTACTTGGGCTAACTTTATCATCAATGTTATCTGACGGCATTTATGGCCCGACCTGGATGTATATAAACCCAATTACGTCCAAACGTAAATGACGAAGTCGTAGTGTGAGTATGCCCTCACTGGGATTATTGTGAAGATGCGCGACCTCAAGCGAAGTCGCAGTGTGAATTTGCCCTTCCGCATATCGCAATCGTCAGTTTTGGGGTATCCGCTCCTGAGGGAAAAAACGGCAAAGGCACAATGGCCCTTCATAAGACGAGAAAAAGGCAAGAAAAAAAAACGGTAAGCGCTCAATGTCTTGTTTGAAGAGACGAAGAACCAAGCAGGACAAAAAAACGGTGAACGTCCAGTGGCAGCAGCTGTTTTCGAACCAAAAAAAACTTGAAAAAGGTATCTAGCGGGTGCTTGTATGCGGGCAAGATTTCTTGTGGACTATTTAGTTTAGCACCATGGGGAGCTACTGGACTTTCGGGGCATGTCAAAAGTTGCCCTGTAAAGAACCTTGACCTGTCAGAGTGCACCTGGACATCATCAGTGCACGTTCAGGCACGGTCTTCGTGGTCATCTTTTCACAGTGTCTGTAACCGAGCCGGGTGGTTCGATTGTGTCCTCGTGGTGAGGCAGAGATGGAGGGGAGGAGGGAGGGGAAAACAGAAGCATTTGACCGGAACCCTGTGTAGTGGTCACCTCCTTTCTTGTTGAGATGGGGGAAGGATGGTGTAGGGTGTCTGAGGTCTTCGTGTTGAGAACTGTCGTCAATGACTGAGGAAACAGATGCCATAAAACTGGGAAATAGTAAAGCGAGACAATTGAGAGAATTAATTGATGGGTAGATCGGCCAATCGGCGACCGGGATCTTTGCATTGCTGGTGTTAACTGTGATTGTGACATGGGTCGCTTGCTGATCACATTATGTGCGCATGTGAATGCTGTAAATTGCAAAGAAATGATCAATGGACACAGTTGAAAGGGATTTCATGGTTTTGTGGACCGAAACCCAGTCTCATGATCCCAGTGCACCAGTGGTCCTAGTCCCAACTGTAGAAAGGCCCGGTAGGTTATGAGGCCAAGTCTCTTTGAGTAGTGTCCGAGAGGTAGGCTCGGCAGGGTCCTGTAGGCCGTGTCAGTCCAGTCTCGTCTCAAGCAAAGTCTTTGGCCCAGGGCCCTAAAAAGGTCATTGAACATTCACGGTGTGTCAAAGGCCGAAATCACTTTTCTGGCCTGATACCCCTGGTAGCCTGCCAGCCCGGGATTTCGGCCTTTGACTCATGGAATGTTGAGCGACCTTCTTCGAATCCTGGGCCGCTGATGCTGCGTGAGATGAGACACGACCCACCGGACCCTGCTGAACTAACCTATTGGACACCACTCAAAAGGGGTTTGACCTCCTAACTTACCAGGCCCTTCCACGGCAGGCACCACAACCATTGCTAGACTGGGACCATGAGACCGGGACCGGGTCCTCAAGACCATAAGAGGTTGAAAGGGATTTCACTGTTTTGAGGACCCCCTTTGCCCATTCCTTTTCATGCACTTGCAACACTTTCTCCCACCCCCTTACCTTTTCTCTCTTGTCCTTGTTCCCTTCTCTGCTCGTTCCCTTCCTACCACGGCTCTTTTACCCTTTTCCCCTCACTTCGTCTCCCTTTGATCCCACTAGAGGGCCCCTCACTTCGTCTCCCTTTGATCCCACTAGAACCCCTCCAATCACACTACTTTCACTCCAGGTGCTAACTTTGTCGCTCCTCTCTCTGCTCCCCCCTCCTATCACGGGTACTTTTCCAGTTGTTGCCATTTTTCCTTTCCTTCCTATCATGGCCGTTTTCCCCTTTCCTCCATCTCCTCTGTTCCTACCATGACTGCTCCCCCCCC